TACGCCATTTGCATACCCTGGAATGCTTCCGCCACGGATGAGTCCATGTAAGTCCCATGGATTACCCCATGAACTTTCGTACCAAAGATGATCAGTTCCGTGCATCCCATGAATTTGGATCCGGTCATGGATGGAGTTGGACCTTCACATTTCCCAGGTACCTCCAAAGGCCGTGATGTTGCGGATCCAGAGGAAACACGCCAGAGGGAGGGGAAAACTATCGCAAACCAAGAAAGACTCGAGATTTGGCATTCAAACAGCTAGGAGACAAGGAGGACGGACCCCACAAGTCAGCCAAGCTACATCTTGGGCCTGAGACGACTCGGGCTAGTGCTTTTGATCGGCTTGGTGGGGGAAAGGACCCACATCCTGCTCAATCACGACATTCCAGGGACACTGAGACGATCCACCTGGACGAAGAAGAAACCGAAAGCCAGCCTTAGCTTGGCAATCGGCATATACCCGACTCTCATATGAGGATCGGGCGGAGGACTTTAATAGGATCGGGAGCATGGTGCGGAAACTACAGGCTCTGGAGGACAAGGTGGACAAGAAGAGTGGACGGAGGAAGCATACCCTTTTGAGGTCCCCGTTTTTCCCACAAGTCCACGTCCAAAGGTTGAGGAGGAAGATCAAGCTTGACGTAGAAAAGTTCACCGGGAAGACCCAGATATACATCTGGGCACCTTCTGTAATGCCGCACAGATGGCAGGGTGTACTGATGGGAAGGAGTGCCTCATATTCTTCTCATCACTCCAAGGAGACCAGTGGAGTGGTTCAACAACCTTCCTCATGGGAAGATAAATACTTTTGAATGCCAAGCGGAACTTTTCCGAGCAAAATATCAGGATAATTATATCAAAAGGAAGAAGTTCACATATCTTAATACGGTAGGAAAACGAGAGAAGGAATCATTGACACAATTCTTCACCCGCTGGAGGGAGGAGGTCGACAAGGTGGAGGAGATGGACGAAAAGACGGCCATGTCCCTCCTGATGAACGCTTTTCGAGCAAGGGACCTTTACACGGAATTTTGTAGGAGGCCACCCTCATCCTACCAAGAAGTCACACCACTTGGGAGTACGCAGAAGCAAAAAACATGAACTGGAGTAAGCAAGAGTTGGGGGAGGGATACACGAGGACTATGATGGGATGGTGCATCAGATTCAGGATGAGCGAAAAGGTGATCACGCGAAGAGGGCCAGGACGGAAAAGTGGTGCAGCTACCACCACCCGGATTCCCATAATACGGCTAATTGTAAGAACATGAAGACAGAAAAGTGGTGCAGCTGCCCGACCGGATCGGGCCCAAGATCTATGGGGACCCAAATTTTTTAATATATTATTATATATATGCAACTTTTTAAATATTCTATAGCCCAAATCTTGTTTCTTCTATTTTAAAAAATGAAATGTTGTAGGTGGGGGGATTGAACCCGAACACCTTTGGATAAAAGCACATAAGTCATCCACTTGAACTACCAACCTTGTTGTTTTAAATTTGCGCATAGGATTATATATTTGGTATTGATTTCAATAAAACTCCTATTTTTATATAAAAAACACAACAATATAGTATAATTGTTTTATAAACTTTAAAAAATTGTTCAATAAATAAATAAAAACTATTTTTTAATCTAAAATAAATATGAATACGTACACAAAAGAACTTATTGTCATCATTAAAAATAAAAAAGTATGAGTATTTTTTAAATAGAAATATTTTTTATTATATCTTAATTAGTCAGAATTAAGGGTCCTTTTCCAGGTCTAGTGTCGGGCCATAGAAGTTTCATGACCGGCCCTGCTTAATGAACATCGTATTCTATTAGCAAAAAATCTACATATATTGGATATAAGGCAATGCTATCAGTACACCAACCATTTGTACACTAATAAACTAACACAGACACACACATCTGTGCAGACACAGATATTATGCAGGGCCGGCCCCGAAAAATGAAAAAATAAAATTGGCCCGGTCCAAAATTTACATTTTGTGCCCTATTTTATATTTTTAGAATACTTTTGCTTTAAAATTATTAACAAATTTAAAAATATGATGCCCTAAATTTTAAAGTGCCCTGTGCAGTTGGCCACTTTGCACACCCTCCGGGCCTCCCATGATATTATGTGCCTGTGTGTGAATATATTAGTTTGCTGTATAAACATGATACTCTATGTTGGTGTACTCCTAGATTAATTCTCGAATATACTCTACATTGGTAATCACATATGTATCCAAATAAGAAATAACTAATAGTGTTGTGTATAGCGAGTCCATGAAGACCTCCCGGTTTAGGCTGCCATCCCTTAACCACTAAGTAACAATCTCATTCAAATCTTTTTATCTTTTTAGTCATCAAACTGTTTTTTTAAAAAGCCCGGCCCCACTGACGCTTTTTTGCCCTCTTTTCTTCGCTTACATACTCCGTATAAAAATTCCCCTCTACTGCTGAATTGAATTCTGTAATAAGCAGAGAATCCGAACTGAAAGCAAACACTAGATATAGATACTCCTGCCTGTTTTTCTTTTTCTTTTTCGGTTAAGTGGATATACTACTCTCTTCGTCTAAAATTTAGCTCTCTTTGGTACACTGATTGAATTGAAATTAGAATCTATAGAATTAAATTCTCCAATTTTAATTTATTTTTACACTACCTATTCGGAATGTACATACTTTTGCGTTACCAAACAGCAGAATTGGAATATACTTGAAGTCTCCAATTTCAACTCCAGGACTTAAATTTTGCGTACCAAACAGAGCCTTAGTGTTAGGATATTTGACTAAAATTATTTTCAAAACACTTTAAAAGATACGGAGTATAAAAAATAGAAATGACATTACCATAGCATTATATCAAATGAACAATGAAAATTAGTAATATAAACTAACAATGACACTACTTTCCAATTTCAATATAAATATGGAAAAAACATTTTATACACAAATATAAATACAAGTGATGAGTGGAAAAATCTTAATATAAACCAACAATGACACTACTTTCCAATTTCAATGTCAAAAAAAAGATTTTCACCCAATTATATTTTCATCACCAATAATATTCAGTAACAAAAAATGATCTGTGACGGATGATGGAGTATGAAAAAATATGAATTGTAATTTCAAAGAAAATACTTTTTTTTCAAAATAACTTTCATTTTCTCTTTCTTTTTAGAAAAGAATATGTGGTTTAAAAAATGTTAATTATTGCTCATTATTGCATTACAACAGTAGAAATCATTCTAAATAGGACTAAAACATAGAGAAAAATACCAAAATAAGACTTTCATGTTTTTTTCCCGGAATAGGACTTTGCACTGCAGTAATGTGACTTTGCATTGTGGTAATGTGGCAGTGTACATGTGCAAATTACTATACTTTCTTGGTAATATATATGACCATGTTTGGTAATGTAAGTCCTATTTCGAGAATAAAAACATGGAAGTCCTATTTTGGTATATTTTCAATGTTTTAGTCCTATTTTGGTCTTTCTCCCTTACAACAGTTTTCCCATTATATTTTCAACAATTTCTTTATTCCTGTGAACTCAAAGGAAACAAATTAATTTGAAACCGATAGAGTTTTTTTTCAAAAAGGGAGTGAAAAAATGGTTTTAAAATGGTATTTTAATGAAAAATCACCCTAAATAAGATTTAAAAATAGAAAAAATATCAAAATAGGACTTTCATGTTTTTATTCCCGAAATAGGAGTTGACACTGTATGTGGAATTGTGGCAGTGTCCACGTGCACATTATTATACTTTTTGATAATGTACATGACCACGTTTGGTAATGTAAATGCATTTTAACTTCTATTTCGGGAAATAAAAACATGGAAGTTCTGTTTTAGTATATTTTTAATGTTTTACTCTTACTTTAGTCTTTTTTCCTATTCTAATCTCTAGATTAAATGAGAGAGAAATGTTTAAAAAAATTGGTATGGAGAGATATTTTTTTAATTTCATAGAGTTATTAAAAAAGATACTTCAATTATTAAGGTCCCGTTCTCTTCAATTATTGCTTTTTCTTATCAGAATCAGATCAAATCTATTCACATCAGGTCATATCAGATTCATTCAAATTAGATCAGATCCCTTAGATCAAAAAATTATACAAAAAATAAAATTTTTTAAAATAATTGGAATAATAATTACAATAATAAAAATAGTAATTATTATTTTCATTATTAACTAATAATAATAATAATAATAATAAATAATAATATAATTTATTATCAAAGTACTTAATAATAAAGTAATTAATAATGATAATCATAATAATAATAATTAAAATGATAGTAATCATTATAATTATTAATTAACAATAATCAATAATAATGATAATAACATTTAATAACAATATTTATTTGTAAATATAATAATAATTTTTAATAATAATAATAATAATAATAATAAATTATTATTGTCATTAGTCTAACTATTTGAATTTAAATTAAATCCATTCAGATCAGATCAGTTCTATTCATATTAGATCAGATTCATTCAAATCAGATCAGTCCACTAGCCGAAGAGAATGCAGCCTAATAATGTTTCGAAGAAAGAATAATGTTCCGTAATGGTGAACATTTACTTGATTAATGACTAAAAGTGCTGCATTGAGATATAAAAACATATTCCGTATGATACTATTTAGAAAAAAGTGAAGATGGAAGAAGTGGAGTATGGGTAGTAAAAGTTGGAGTGCCAATATTACTACTCTAAGATATATTTATGTAGAAATCTTGAATTGCATGGTGCATGTATATTTCAACTTTTTTGATTCACTAGATGAGAAAGAAGATGCATATATGCATCATCAGCGATAGCCATCAGAGAAAAGCTAAGGAAGCAAAGTATATATGTCTGCCTGGCCACTTCATAAAGCACTACTTTTGCATCAGCACAGACGAATCAGCTAAGCTAAGGGCGACCCAAAAAAAGGGATGCTTTTTTCTCCTATAAATAACAACACAAATGTCCCATAAAATTTGTGCTTTTTATTCACACATCACAAGTTCACAACACAAACAAAACATATATTATATGCATATTAATTATAGATATATACTCCGATTTCGGATCCTTGTAAAAAATATTCATGTTGAAAATGAAGCTGCCGCAGGCAAGCCAACTCAGCTCAACGCCGTTGTGCTCCTTTGTGAACTCTCATCATCATCACAAGAAAAGGCTTCTCCATGATCAATGCCATGCCGGTGCCATGACTACTTTATCCAACGCCGAACAATCGGAAAAGACTAAATCACCGAGAATATGTGAGTTTTTCTTTTTAGTTTGGTCGTCGTTCCTTTTATATCGAGCTTTCGGTTAAGTTATAGGTCCAGTTAATAAGGGGTTTGGTGATCGAATGGTCCTTAGTACGAGAAATGAGAATGATGCATTTGCAACTTACACATGTAATAGTACATTTTCGGCTGTGAAAAAAGTTCAATTTATTTACAAAATTGTCACCTCAATTTTTTTCATTTCTTTCAGATTTTTAATAGTCCTTAGATCTTAAATCTAATGTATCGTATGTGTTCTCATCTCTTTCACGGTGCATTATTGTTAGAATATGAAATAAACTTCTTGGACCACAACCACAAGCTCGAGCTTTTGGTTGAATTGGTTCCTTGACACGGCATCAAGCCCTTGTTGACTAATTAAGCGGTCACGGGTTCTAAACTCAGCGTGACCCAGTTTAAAAAAAATAAGCCTTGCACGTGAAACCTTAATTTTTTAAAACTGGGTGGCGCTGAGTTTCGTTCGAACCCGCGACCTCTTAGTCAAGAAGACTCTGATACCATGTCAAGGAACCAATTCAACCAAAAACTCAAGCTTGTGGTTGTGGCCTAGAAAATATTTCTTATATTCTAACACAAGGCTCGAAAAATGTGTTATTAGAATATATACATGACATTAATTGATTATGCATGCATGGGGCCGCAGTTACATTTGGGCAAAAAATAAGAGACACCGTGAAGGGAAAGCTGAGCCTGGGGGCGAAGATTGTTCAGGCATGGGGAGTGGGGAACGTGTTCAAGTCGAATTTCGCATTTGAGGACGGCGAAAAACTGGTGAAGACTCTGCAGTGCTGTTTGTGGACGACGGCGGGCCCCATAGGCGGCCTTCTATTTATATCAACAGAGAAGGTTTGCTTCTACAGCGAGAGATCCTTCAACCTCCGCCGCCGCGCCGCCTCCTCCTCCGCCGGAAAACGCCCGCCGCCTCCCGTCACGCCGGTCCGTTACAAGGTCTCGATCCCGCTGTCGAAAATAAACTGCGCGAGCGGGAGGGGAGATGCGAAGAAGCCTGGAAAAAAGTATGTTCACGTGATGACTGAAGACGGGTTCGAGTTTTGGTTCGTGGGGTTCGTGCGCCACAGTAGAGCGTTGAGATGTCTCCAGGAGGCAATAGTATCATCTCGGAATCAGTGTCAGCTTATTGTGCCCCAATCGCAAATTCAATAGGCTAAGATTGTGTATGATGAATTACAATTGTATTTGCATATACTCCTTCCCAGTCTCATTAAATCTTTTCGTTTGACTTTTCTTTGACAAATTTGTAAATTTTAATCATGATATTTGGAAAAAATATTCTCTCCGCGACTCCGTACTCTAATCTCTTTTTTTTTCTTTTTCCCCACAAAATGTTTCTCTTTTCTATTAAAAATCACTTTTACCCCTACTAATAATTCTTAACCTACCTATCACATCATACTTTTACTCATTACAACAAGAATATCTTTGGAAAGTCAACACAAAATTTTCTCTTCCTTAAATTCATTAAAAGTCAAAATGATAACATCTTTATGGGACGGTGGAAGTATTATGTTTCGATATAATTGTAATATCAATAGTATCATTTCGAAAAGCGATTTTAAAATATTAAAAATTTACTCCCTTCGTTCCATTAAACCATTCATATTTTAACTTTGGGCCAAAATAAAAAAAATGTATTTTTGGTTGACTTTCCAATTTTGCCCCTAGATGTGATAGTAAAAGTAAGATGTGATAGTTTGGTTATTAGTGAAAAAAAAGTGGTTTATTTTTCACGTTCTTCGCTGCAACACTTTGACAATTAATAATATTAATTATCCATATATTTATTTTATAAAAAAAGATATCTCCGTGGATAAGTGTAAAAAAGTATGAAAATATCAAAATAAGAGTCGAAGTCTTTTAATATAAAACATGAGTTTAATGACAGTGTGATGTAAGAATACATGTTGGCAGTGTGATGGAAAAATAATGACAATGTAGTATAAGAATGTGATCAATCAATCGCCGGTGATCGTCGACGATACTTCAGTTGCCGGTGGCGACAGATGACAGTGTGATAGTGATAATGTGGCACTTCGAGAGAGATAATGTGGTGAGTGTGGCAGTGTAATTTAAACTATTATTTTGATTTTAAAAGACTTATAACTATTATTTTTGTATTTTTATATTTTTCACTCTTATCTAGTAACTTCTTCCTATATACTCCCTCCGTTCCATTAAACCCTTCCTCTTTCATTTTTTTCCAATTCCCTAAAAGACTTTTTATTAAAAAACCACTTTTACCCCTTTTTTTTGACAGGAGTAGTGTTTGATTAATTGATAAGAAATCTACATACTCTAATCGGACTAGGCAAATACTTTGGTGAAGCTTAGGTCCACCTTGGTTTTGTGAACCTTATTGAAATGAGCAATGCTACGTTCACAAACAAACAGAATGGTCACAAACTTCACAAACTTACTATTTATGATTTAAATTCTCATATTATAATTATTTTAGACTATTTAATTTTTTTATTGGACTTCACAAATAGTAAGTTTGTGAAGTTTGTGACTATTGTGTTTGTGAACCAAGCATTTTTCTATTGAAATATCTAACTTTTTGCAATGTTGATGAGCCTTTAAGTTTTTGAGCCTACCAAATTAAAATTACGTAGGGTGAGTATGTCCACATCACCACATGGACATAAATTTTAGGACCATAATGTCACTACTCATCTAATTAAAGTCTTGTTTAATTCTCTTCACATGCTCTGAATGATTTTAATGTGATTGAAATAAATTATGATCAAATTAAAATAAATTCTGATCTAATTTGATTTCTTCTGAAAATAGTTGTATTGAAAGCTGTTTTCTGATCTTATTTGATCAAAACTTATTGTATTTAAAGAATACTCCGTAAGCAATAAGAATAGAGTTAAGAGAACATAATTTAAAGCATAACTCTTGTCTTCAAAATTGAGGTAATTAATACTCCCTCCGTTCCTAAATATTTGTAATATTTTCTTTTTCACCAGTCGCAGTAACTTTTATTGATTTCTATGTTTTCATTGGTTATTTGATAAAATAAAATATTCTTGACACCTCTTATTTCAAAGAATTTTTCATATAGTTTTTTGATATGTAAATTTTATTTTTTTATTTCTATACCAATATATGTATATAAAATGAATTAAAAAAGCTTGATATTTTTACCTCGAGAATACAAGTATGACAAATATTTAGGGACGGAGAGAATTTTTTATCTTTAAGTAGGACTAAAAATAATATTGAATAAACAAATTATGCGCTCCTTCAGTAGACTCTATGCAAAGCATGTGTGGAGACTGGAGTCATGTGAATCAACAGAGAATATTTCATGCCTTCAAATATCTAGGGGTATAGATCTCTTTCCATTTCAAAATTACCATGTGGACAAAGGATAGTAACACTTAAATAAATGTTATTAAAAACAAAAATTACAGAGCACTTGAAAGAGTAATACTACGTTTACAAGCAGAATGATCACAAATTCCACAAACTTGCTATTTATGATTTAAATTCTCATTTTAAAATTATTTTAGACTATTTAATTTTTTTATTGAATTTCACAAATGGTAAGTTTATGAAGTTTGTGAAGTTTGAATTTGTGAACCAAGCATTTCCCCACTTGAAATTGTAAAATAACCCTATAAAATCTAAATCATAGTGAAAAAGACTAAAATAGAAGAAAAACATTGAAAAATATACCAAAATAGAAGTTCGATATTTTTATTCCTAAAATGGGAGTTAAAATACAATTACATTACCAATCACGCAATCATGAACCATGTATAATACCAAAAAGTATAGTAAAATGCACATGTACAGTGTTATATTACCACAGTGCGAACTATGAACTCCTATTCAGGAAATAAAAACATAGAACTCTTATTTTGGTATTTATCTATGTTATACTCCCTCCGTCCCAGAGTATTTGTTAAGACAAATCAAACAAGATCACACATGACTATATTTAGGCTTACACATTGAGAGAATTTGATGAGTCAAAGTGTTTAGATGAACGGTTCCAAAAGTCAAAAGTAGACTAATACTCCGGGACGAAGGGAGTATTAAATAAGTAATGATATGTCTGTTTTATTTTATCAAATGATCAACAGAACACACTCGCAACCAAAATTTTTGGGTGGTTGAAATCCTTTATATATAATATTTGGGAGTTAAACTCCCAGAAATTCGACATGTGGCAGGCTACTTGGCAAATTTTTTTTACACATCATCAGCCACATCACATTTGATGACTTTAGTGATTTGGCAATTTTAACTTAAAGTATGAAAACATCTTATTAGAGCAAATATTCATTCCCAATTATTGCACATATGAAAAACTTTTACGAGGTATATGTAAAGTAATTATAATTAAGAGGTTATAAATGTTAATTATAAAAAACTTTCAATTAATTGCTAATGACATTTATTGGCTAATCCTTCCTTTTATTATTAAATTTGAGACTTTGGCTTACATGATATTGGCATGTCACGAGCTAATATGACATTTGTAATAAATCATCTGTTGTCTATTTATTATTTTAATGGGTTGGTAATTTTAATCAACATACGGAGTACTGATTTGACATTATTTTATTTTATTTTTTATTGATTGAACATAGTGACTTAATTATTTGTCTTTTTAGTTACATGCAATTAATCTTAAGAATTAGTAACTCTATTGTTTTTAACACTCGGTTCATTTTTCGAATGATATGTTTGACCAATGAAATTTTTTATCAAACATATTTTTTATTTTGAGATTATAGTCTAATTTTTAATATTTCAATTCATTATATATTTATATAAATAATTATTCAAGCATTTGACAGCAGAGCAAACTAAGACAATTAATGAATAAAGTTTTTATAATAATTTAAACATACCAATTTATTTACCATATATACGTATAGGGGGGGGGGGGGGGGTAAAGAACAGTTTCTATTTTTGGATTTTGAATTACTCCCTTCGTCCCCTTAAGATCTTCTCATTTTGACTTTGTGTTATTTTTAAGGAGAGTTGAAAAAATGTGAAAGTTTACCATAATACCCTTAATGAAAATGGGTGGAGTGTATTAAATGAGATAGGTGAGGTGTAATAAATAAAGTAAGTGGGGATAGTTGTGATATATATTTTAATTGTTAAAAAAGGTAATGAGAAGATCTATGGTAGACAAATAAAAAGGGTTAATGAGAAGATATATGAGTGACGGAGGAAGTATATTTTTGCATAAAAAAGTGATTTAGATTCATCCATTTTTATGAAATAATTAATTATGCACCTACTTCTGTGAATGAATTTTATTAATTTTATATTTAGGTTAGTGGTCTTATGCTAAACAAAAAGAATGAGTTTGGTTACTACATATCTTGAAAAAAAATGACCATGTTAAAACTCCTCATTGTATAAGTAGATTTAATCTTCTCATTTAACTTTTAATGCTCTCCAATATAATATTTTGATCATTAATATCAATATTTATACTTATCGTATCTTATGAAAATTCATATTTCAAAACAACGTTTTAAAAAAGATTATTGATATTGCATTTATAGATAAACAAAAATTGTTTTTCATATATCGAGGTCAATCTTTATCTTTATATATTAAATTTAAGAGTTAAACTTATAGAATTACAATAAATGGTGAGTCTACATGTCAACATTTTAACAAATCATCCGCCGCCTATACGGATTACGAAGTGCCACTATAATTATTTGGGAAAAAAACTAAAATAAGATTAGAATATGGAGAAAGTGCCAAAATATGAGTTTCATATTTTTTATCTCCAAAATATTAACTACAATACCAATATTTTATTATATAGTGCTAAAAACATTATGAAATGGTAATATACAGTGCCACAACGTCATTGTGTAAACTTTATTTAGGAAATAAAAATATTGAACTCTTATTCTGGACATAAGATTTATGTCTTACTTCTATTTGAGTGATTTTTTTTAGTTTTGTTTAGGAAATATATACAGAGTAATATATATGGAGTAGTAACTACCAAAAGTTTCCTTCTACACTTATATTACCTTATATATCTTTTTTTATTTTACAAAATCATCATCTTTCCTTCAACTTCTTGGGAACCTCTGCATACCTTTCTTTTTTCTTCTTTAGTGTAGATAGGTGAAATTGTGAAAATTATTGTGTAATTGATGATGTACTCACACTTCATTTGGTAAGTTTAAGGGAGGGCATCATTAGTAATCTATTTTAAAAAGAAATTGATAGCATAATTTTTTTGTGAATTATATTATTTTCCATATTCTTTGCGGAGCTTACGAGAACAGATTTCCAATTTTGTTGATCGGAACTCCAAAATTTATTATTTAGCTACTAAACATGAAGAGATTCCTTTTTTCTATATAACACGGTTAAAGTATACAAAATT